ATTTACCTTTTGTGCAAGCCTCACAAAACTCTCACTTTTAGAAGTAATGATATGCAAATCTCTAACTAATTCTTTCTTTGAGAGTTTTTGCAATAAACTCATGTTCACATATACAAATCTTCTGTGCCAAAGCTCACAACCGTCTCCTCCTACAATGAAACATTTTACTGTGTCAGATTTAATATCATTAAAGTTCAATGTGTATACATTAACATGTCTATTTCCAATGAAGATAATCGAACTTATTTTAGAATCAATAATTTTACATTTAGTATATTCAAAAAGAATAGACATACCCTTATCACACAACTGACTAATGGAAATAAGATTGTGCTTTATACCATCAAGAAGTAAAATCTTAAGGAGTTAGAATCATTACCTATAACAACAACTTCAGTAGTCTCACCTTTATCGTTATTTCTAAAAGTAATACTTCCACCTTTCTTCTTATCGAGACTAAGAAACAAATCTATCTTACCTGTCACATGTTGAGAACATCTTGAGTCTAAATATCATGTGCTTGCATACTCCTTAGCCCTCCAGTAAATTTCTTTATCTAAATTGTCATCCTCAGAATCTTTTGAAATGTGGGCATTGGCCATGAAATAATGGCTCCTGTCATTTGAACTCAAGTTGCTTTCTAATTCTTCGTCTTCATCTGAGAAATCCCACAACGTCACCTTGAAGATCTTATTCTTTCCTTTGTCGTCACTCTTGTTGAGTGGCATTCGTTTTTGTAGCGTCTAGATTTCCTGCAATGATGACAAATAATTTTTGAATCTTAATTTTCATATTTATATTTCTTTAACTTAGTAAAGTTCTATTTCTGTTAATTATGCATAAACTTTTACCTATATTTTGTCTTTTGGAATAATTTAAATCCTTTGACTACCAATCCCATTTCACTCTCTTCATCACCATCAGAGTCCAAGCTTAAATCTTCATTTTTCTTGGATCAGAATTTCTCCTTTTTGGTCTTTAGGGCTAACGACTTCTTCTTGGAATCATCTTCAAAAGCATCTTCTCTCTCTTTTAATTGAACTTCATACATGAGAAGATTACCTATAAGATCTTCATTAGTTAAATTAAAAAAAATTATGATTCTTGAATAGTTGTTACCTTTGGTTCCCAATCCTAAGAAAGAGAATGAAGAATTTTTCTGTAAGTACTTTATTGTTGTACTCTTTTCCAAAAGCTTTAGCTTTGTTCACAATGTACATGAATCAAGATGTCTCCTTCTCGAATTTGTTCACAATAGTTGTTACCTTTGACTA